GTGTAGTAAATATTATAACAATTTTGATAGTCACAATATTATAATTATATGGAGAATAGTAAATATTATAACAACTTTTATAGCCGACATATTATTTTCTATGGAGAACAGTAAATATTACAACAATTTTTATAGCCACGATATTATAATTCTATGGGGAATAGTAAATATTATAACAACTTTTATAGCCACAATATTATAATTCTGTAGGGAATAGTAAATATTATCACAACTTTTATAGCCACGATATTATAATTCTATGGGGAATAGTAAATATTATGACAACTTTTATAGCCACGATATTATAATTCTATGGGGAATAGTAAATATTATAACAACTTTTATAGCCACAATATTATAATTCTGTAGGGAATAGTAAATATTATCACAACTTTTATAGCCACGATATTATAATTCTATGGGGAATAGTAAATATTATAACAACTTTTATAGCCACAATATTATAATTCTGTAGGGAATAGTAAATATTATCACAACTTTTATAGCCAACATATTATTTTCTATGGAGAACAGTAAATATTATAATTTTAATAGCCACGATATCATTATCGACGGAGAACATTAAATATTATAACAATATTTAATATCGTTACATTTTATTCAGGAACATAAAAGTTCATTGTAAATTTGTATATGTATAATGCATCCCCGAACAATACACGGTGTGTCGATGCCCGATTTAATTTCCGGCAACTCTACACTTTCGAGATTATTATTAAAATCGCAAAAGTGCTTCCGTGAGGGATTCCGTTCGCGAGGCTGATGCATTTATGCTCGTACTGCTCGCGATAAACGACCATTAAAATCCTGTTGGACGCATCTCTATAATTTACACAATAAAATCAGATCCAATCGTTTCTCGTCTTCGCATGAAAATTTCATTTCGGATTCTCCGTGGGAATATACAAAATGATGGTCGTTTTAAATGCGACCATTTTCAACGGAATTATAAATATTCTTACTAGGATCCGTAATTAGCGGTGAGAAACATTCCAAATCAATTTTTCTGTGACCTGTTAACCGAGTTCCGGTAAGCAGATCGCCGTTAGAACGACTTACCCTAACGCTTATCATATTTTTACCGAGGATTCTTCGTCTTTTCCTTCACCGTATAAATATTCATCGACGAGTTCTTCGCCATAGCAATTTGCTGGAGCCTTCGAATCTCGAACTCGTCGTCTCGAATCATAAATAATTTCATCGGCCGCGAAAGGATGCGCCATCTTCCGCGGGGATAGGTAGAGAGCCAGGGATAAATGCATTAATTTAATGCCGACTATTCGTAAGAGTACGCGTATCATGCATTCGCGACATTTATGCTGCGATCAAAGAGCGGCTGAAGCTGCGGACAACGAAAAAAGGGGTCGCGATAACGCCGGGAGAAATAGGGAGAGAGAGAGAGAGAGAGAGAGAGAGAGAGAGAGAGAGAGAGAGAAAGTGCAAAAAAGAGAGAAAGAGAGCGACAGAGCGAGAGAGAGAGGAAGAGAGAGAGAGAGAGAGAGGGAAAGCAAAGAGCAGGGAAAGTACATTTTCATAATCGAGTCAAGTACTCCGTTGAGTGTCTAGCCCGGAATTTTCAGTGCTTCTGTACAGAGCGACTTCGAATAAAACGGCACGCACACAGCCCCGCACACCTGGACCCACGGCTACATTTGATTCCCCGCGTTTTTTCCCCTCCGTCCATCCACGCGGTTCGCTTCTCTTTTTATTTAATGGAGGCACGCTCTAACTTCCAGCGAAAGGGAATCATTAAGGGCTTCTTGAATTATTTACAGTTAACAACGCGGAGATGTTCCACTCGTTTTTCCGACCGGTCCTGTCGCCTCTTATGGGGACAAGCGAGGCTACGCGTGCATACCGGGTGGCACGATTCTTACAGTCGAGAGCAAATCTTGCTTCGCTTAATGTCTTGAATAAATGACGCTTTCATTTCATAATCGATGTTCCTTTTTCAATTTACTAATTCTCAGGCTTTATAAAATTCGCGTAATTCGTGTACAAAAATTGCGTACAAACATTGACACACAGTAACTAGATACGGCACAGTAACTCGCTCGAAAACTGTTTTGTCCGTTTGGTGAAATATTTCGCGTGCTTCACGTATTACAATTATGAACAAATTCATACTCAAATACTTAAATGTTTCAAGAAGTACGATGAAGGTTGATAAAACTGTTTAATTTGTCGAAAAATCCGGACGTCATTTTAATGGGTAATTGATACACTTACCCTGGATACGTACAAAATGTCGGCAGGTTTAGTGTTAAAAGATTTACATATCCTGTTTAACAAGATGCCCGTGGCTGTATCTGTTTGTTATTTTGTAACTCCTATCGATTCTTTCAAGTAGAAGAATTGTGACAGGCAGTCGCGAGAGATAAATTAGGGTGGGACGGAACCGTTCCTAAAGAATTCACGTGTTCGCGATAGGAAATCGCGCGGCGCCGTTCGACACACCGAAATACGTTTCTCCGGTTGAACGGACCACGAAAATATTCGTCCCGATGATTGTATTTATTCGTCTCCGGCGACATTTCCCGCGAGTTTCCGGCGCGCTCTCCGTTAAATGCTCTCGATGCGTTTCCAAAGGATCCCGGGGGCCGTGGGAGGACACGCGCGACGGAAGCGCTTTGAGCCTCGCCCCGGGCTGGTCGACGGAAAAAGAGGACGTCGACGATTTTCGTCGATTTTCTTCGATTTTCCGCGATTTCTAAGAACACTCCCGCTGCACGAGATTTCGCTCTTTGACGGAGGAATGCGCCAGACTGCCCGGCATTTCGAAAATGCCAGGATTCTTTCCTTCTAATTGCGTGCTCGTTACACCGCCCGCCTTTCTCGCCAGTCTTCCATTAGTATGCCGAGTTTGATCTTTATTGAACTATCGCGATTCGAAAGAATCTTTTCTTTCGGTTCCTGTGTCAGATTGAATTTCATTTAATTTATTTATATATACCGGTATTATACAATGTCGATTTTTACAATACAGAACGAAAATAATACCACATAAAAATTTACAGATAATCATCGAAGCGTCTGTTTAGGTAAACTATGAATTTTATTTAGTTACAATTTCTTAATATTTTATTTTCATTTTATTTTATTCTTGTGTTTTCTATTTTTTCCTATTTTCATTATATTTTTTATTTGTCGTATGCATTAAATATAACAATTTTACATTATAAACCATGCGTTATATGCTTCTTTATACGTACATTTAATTTGATAAGACGTATATTTATTAAAATAAATATATATATATATATATATATATATATATATATATATATATATATATATATAATATAATATATAGATATATATATTATATTATTATATATATTATTATATATATTATATTAATAATATATATATAAATTAAAATAAACTCTACACGATGTGTAGAGTTTCTTAATTTTTTTCGGTCAATTTTGTCGCGAATCACCATCGTAATAGTTGTTTCTCTGAACGAGAACATCTTTTATACGTACATCGAAGAATATTATTCCAAGAAGACGCGCGGCGCGCACAATTGCAACGAAAAAAAAGGGTACGCGCGAAATATTTTTCGAGCAGCTGCGACACACGGAAATTCGATGAAAATCTGAGCGCGGGGGTGTCGCGCGAGTTTCGTTGTGGGCGTCGAGGCGTCGGATTTGAATGTAAAAAGGGGGGAGGAGAGGTGCAGGCGGTGTAAATTCAGCACAACTGCATTCTCTGCTCGCGATTCTCTGATATTAATACCTCAGCGAGGAAGTTCCCGCGGTACACTTGGCAAACTGTTAATTCGTTAACCGGAAACGTCGAAGAACTTACTTACTGGCAAAATCGTTGACACTTAAAGGCGGAGTTCCAAGCAGTTTCTCGTCTGCTCGGCAACAATTTCTCTCTAAACTGCATTGTAGGTGCGGTCGCCGTTGTGTACACACACGCGCGCACGAGGCCCCGTGCACGTACACCGTTACAGTATATATAAAGTACATATATCCCGAGCAATTCCGGGGTATTTAGTTGCGGATCCGAGGCAGATGGAACGCAATCAACGGAACGAGAGAACAGTCGGCTGAATTATTTTAAGTAGCGAACGCTTATGTCTCGAACGCGTTCATGCATATTCAGCTAGACAGTGAGAGCCCGGATTATGCGGAGGCTGCAAAGTCTTGCGCTTCTGATTATTCGATAGGGGGGCGGGGGTATTCAGTTTCGAGAATCGAACCAGCCTGCTATTTCAGCCCGGCGTTAACGAGTAACGAGCAGAACACGCCCTCCTCGAACGCTCGATACCCCTCCGCGGCCTTATATCTCGATAAGATCGCAATTTTCGGAGATGCTCGCGTTTTCAACGATTAATCCCCCCTTTGGAACGCCTGTGGATTAGCGGGCGACGATTCGGAGATAGTTAAACGCGTTCGCTACTTTACT